ATGCCAGTTGTCATGTTTCGACGTTAACCAAGGCTTGGTATGGTGCCAATGGAGTTCATCGAATGGACTGGCCTGCTCAGAGTCCAGATCTGAACCCTATCGAGAACCTCTGGGACGAGTTGCATAGCCGAATTCAGGGGTGTACTACCCGTGCAAAATCGGTGAAGGAACTTCTACGTCTTCTCAAAGCCGAGTGGAAGAAAATACCACTAGATGTCATACAAAGACTTGTGGAAAGCATGCCCCGGAGGGTTCACGCTTCAATTACCTCTCGTGGAGGCTCTACCAACTATTGATTTTGAATAAAGTTAGTTTTTCTTTTCTATCACAGGTGTCCAAATACTTATTGGTAGTCAGTGTATTAAATGTTTTCCATTCTTACCAAACAGGAGGGCACGCAAAATCTTCTGCGAATCAGGAAATAGCTACGGATCTGGAAAACAACCATGTAATCAGGAACTGAACCCAAGTCAAACTGCCAGTGTTCAGCGACTTTACCGCTCAATCGCTGGTGGGCTGCCCTTGAAGGTACGGCCCTTGCATGTATGTTCAGATTATTCTTTGCATGCCTAGGTTACACTGACGTTCGCTCTTTTCAAAACAAAATTCATTAATATATAAAATATAGCAAAGAAACACACTCTTCCTATTTGAAGTATATAATTCGCTAACTGGCTTTCAATTAACCTTATTTAACTGGCCTTCAATTAACCTTCTATAGCGGGTCATTAATAAACTTTCTACAACAGTAAGATAATTTTTAAAATATATCCATATGCAATGCAAATAAACCACGTTGTATTTTTCGATCTTAATTTAACTAAAACTTATTTAAGAAAAGTTGATGATTTTTTTGCTGGAGGGAAAAAATATAGTAGTAGTATAAATCATGGCTGTCCAATCAAAATTTTTATTTACATCAAATAACCTTACTGCGACGGCAGAAATTTTTTTAAAGAATTAAATGCATTTATTGCGCTATTATCACATTAAAAGTTCCACATCAAGGCAGTCAAAGTAATGTCAGAAGAAAGTACAAGAATCTACTGCATTAATTATTATCATACATCTAATATTTTCCTTTAAGTATGCAGATAAGTTTTTACATTATTAGTTTGAGAATTGTAGTTTTGCCCAGAATCTCACTAGAAAATTAAAAGGATCAAGGATTTTTTACTTTACTTTTTCACTGAGAACGAAAAAAAAAAAACCTTCTGAAAAGGTATCATAGCTGAGATTATTAGAAAGGCATAGGGTTAAAATGAAAATGTTGTGGTTAAAATGAAAGTTAGTGGATGATTTATATGATTATGAATCGTAATCGCAACCAGACGTACCGGGAGTTTAAGAAAAACTTAATTCTAAATTTTGATTTAGCTAACATTTTTGCTGCAGCGACAAATACTTTTTTATTGCTAAAGTGTATAAATTTCCAATGATTCACTTCAGAGGAAATAATATAACAATTACAATGCAGCAACGTTGCCTATAGGCAACCTCTTAACTAGATGTGTTGTTCTTATCTCTTATAACAATGCTGATACTTACATAATAGCACAACCGCTTAATAGATGTCGCCAAATCTGACAACCATACGCCTATTTCTTGACCACATAAGCATATTCGTTCGACTACTGGACTATGCGTGCAACTACACCAGTTTAAACAAGCAATGCAGCCCTGTTTATATGTGCTCTTCGTGCTGTATTACAATTTTCAACAATTTTTTTAAGGCAAATCGTGATATTTTGGATCTCAAACTAAATTTTAAGATATACGTTTGTGGGATTTGCCTGCAACAGAAGAATGGTGTGCAGTAAAATTTCTGCGGAAATACACTATTTTCACACAAATTCGGGAATGCTCAATTTACGTTTGATGATGATGTATTTCAGAAAACAACAGCTTTGGAAATGCAGTGAGAAAAATTGTAATGAACACGTGAGGGTTCGAATCGGTATTTAGTTTGACATAAGTTATCTGTCTTTCATTAGAGCACTAACATTTATATATTCTGAAGGAGCAAAGAATAAACAAGTTTAGTTCAGTTCTTCTACGAAGAGTTTGAAATGGCCTACAAGATAGTGATATATTGGAATAATAAATATATACGAGAGATCTGCGTTCTTGATAATGTTGCCGAAGAATAAAATATGATTGGTGGGAAAAAATTTAATCAGTGAAATAAATGAAAATCTGTTTACAAAGCGAAAACACAATGCTTGATATATTTTGCCACCACTGTGGATTTCGGGAGAAATGTGCTGGAAAACAATAACTTTCTTAGTTGTATTTTATAATAAATGGTTTGTTTAGTTGATTATGGCAAAGCATACTAGGGCTATCTGCCTAAAGGAAGGAATGCCTTCGTAGAGGACTATCTGAGGGAAACTGTCTCGTATACACGTTACACATGAGAAAAACCGTGAAAACGACCATGCAGCCAGCCTGTTCGCCTGGAATCGAACCCAGGTCAGAACTACCAGTATTTAGCGATTTTACCGCTCGGTCGCTGGTGGTGTCCTTGCATTTTGTAACAGAAGTGAAGCTATATTAATGCAGAAGATAAACGAAAATATTAAGCAAGGTAATATTACTTATTCTAACCAATGTTTTAAAATGTTTCTGCCATCGCATGAAGGTTATTTGGCTTTAAATAAAAATTTTAATCTGACAGCCATGATTAAAACTATCACTACGTTTTTTTTCTCTGCAGAAAAAATATTGATCAACTTTTCTTAAATAACTCTTAGTTAAATTAAAATCGAAAAGTATATCGTGGTTTATTTGCATTGCAATACTGGATAGATTGAAAATAGTCTGGATATAAAATTGAAGAACTAGAAGAAGGTAGAATTGTGCACAAAACGGACCTTTGGAATAAAAAAGAATAAGATTATCAGTGAAGAAAATGGCGTTGTTTATTGCAGCAAAGCATTTTCAAGTTATATGGTTTAGGAAGACAGCCTTAATGAAAGATATTTCTATGAAAACAAATTGATCAGTAATACAAGCCGATGTTTTCCTCAGAAAAATTTCCATCAAGGCTCTTCTCCTTAAGGCACACAACCTGAGAATGCTTTGTTAACTTTACTATGCTTTAGATAATATAATTTAAATTTCAACCAAATTTTGCTGACTTTATAAAAATAGTCATTGTACGCATAGTTAAGTTTTAGACTTTGCTTTTAAAACTTATTCATCTCAATTCACTTTAAACAAAAATCTATTAAATGTTCTCTAAAAGTATCACAAATATAATGCATATATAGAAATTTCGGTACTATTCGGTTTCGAGGGCCGTAAAAAAATTGCAACGAAAATGTATGCGCAAAAGCGCCAAATCTAGCAAACTCGCCCATTTAACAGCGCGCCAAATCTAGCGTACGCGTTGATTTCAGATTCCGTAAGTTTATATAGTTCTATATTTCTTAAGACGCCATTGAAATACTAGTTTAATTTTTAAATCCTTTTTTGATTTTAAATCCTTTTTTGATATCCTATGGATTTAACAATTTGGGAATTGCCCATGACGAAAAGTAGGCAATAGAATTCTGGGTAAAGTGCAGAATCACCCACTGCTTGACGCGTTTTTAAGAATTGCACATACTCGGTATCGATGTACACATCGACCTATTTTCATTTTCACTTCAAAAAAAAAAAAAAATCCTAGATAAAAATAAATGCCCGGAATTGCACAAAAATGGCGCTGCGCACACTTTTGACTTTATCTATGTACAACATCGACCTATTTTCACTTAAAAAGTAAAAGAAAATTGACAAAAATCCAATTGTTTTTACCCTTGTAAAAAGCGGCAAACAAATAAGTGAGCGATTCTGCACTTTACCGAGAATATTTTCAAAGAAAAGGCATTGTTAAATATTTGCATAATCGCCTGTAGTAACAGCAACCGCCGTCAATAAAAGGAGGTGCTTTCCTTAGTGGCACCGCAGTTCATTTTAGTTCGAGTCAGAATAGACCTGCTCGGGGGAGAAGCCAGGGAATGATAGATTCCGGTTCCCGTCTTGTTCCGGATCCAGTCCTGTTCTAGTTCCAGTCCTGTTCTAGTTCCAGTCCGGCCGTTTAAGTCCAAAACACGTAGGAACGGAAGTCTGAATCCAGCGAATGGAGATATATGCCGAAAGGGCTAGATGGATTTTGTCTTTTAAAAGAAAGTGTTCTTCACCGTGCCGGCATAGCTGTTACTTTAAAGCACTTTGAATGTTTTCCACCTAAGATGTTAAGTTTTCGTTTATGATGTTAAGTTTACATCATTTTTGAAGTTGTAGTTGAATAAACCTTTAAGTTTTAGACAAGGTTTTTGTGTTCTTCAGAAAATTTTAGATTCGAAGTCAGATATAACACATAGGATTTAGCGGAAAAATCAATAGGCATCATTCATTATAGAAAATTACGTTTGAACAACCAACGAGATGAAATTATGCTTTAGCGATAAGTCGGTATCCAAATAGCGATGCAGGCATCCATTCAGTTATGTTTAGCAATTTTTATATAAATTATAATAATGATCTGAAATAGTTATTTACTCTTATGCTTCCATTCAGTCATGTTTAGCCTTTTTCATATAAATTATAATAATAAAAAAGTATTATATGAAATTAACCTTTCATCGAAATTAAAACATCAATCTTAGATAGTTATTTACTATTATACTTCCTTTCTTGCCACAATTATTAGGGTTGCCGCAATTATTTTTGGCAGCACTGGCATCAACAATAGTTGGGCGATTTTTTACGGCCCTCGAAACCGAATAGTACCGAAATTTCTTTCTCTGTAATTATATGGAAACTCGTCATAAACATTGTCAGAAAGAATTTGCCAGATAAATACTAAACAGCGTTAGAAATGATGTGTAGACAAAAAACATAAAAATTTAGATGTAAAAGTATGTTATAAGTTGGAAAAAGACTAAATGTGTAACAACATGAGGCTCGTTAGATTGTTTGAATTTTACTGTTTGACTTCTCTTTTACTTAGTTGGCAACGAAATAGGTAGCCAAGTATCTAGTTTTGTATTGTAAGTTCTTGTCTAGATACATCTGAATTCTATGAGAAAATGCAGCCAAGTTCACCTGGAAGTAATCCAAGCATTTAAACACCTGAATGTAAGTGATGCTCGTTTCTTTAATTACTCTTTCGCGTTGTAAACTATCAAATTTCTAAATTAGAAATAATATTAAATTTCTAAATATTTATATGTGTTTGGGGGTATGTAAGGTGTGTTTAATATGAAATTGCTTCAGGTTATTACAAAAAAGAGGTCGCTTCAGGTTATTACAAAAAACTTAGAGTTTCACAACTTTGTAACGAAAGTATTCAATGGGAGGCTTACTTTTTAGTGTCTAAAACTGGCAACCATCCAGCCGAAACTGGCGTGCAATTAATGTCACTCTTAATAGTAATTTTAGAACGCTAAAATCATGAGAAACCTACAGATGTTAATAGAAATATATATAATAATCGTCTAAATGATGGGCTATTTTCTACGTTAGCAAAACAGTAAGTCTTAGTATGCATATATACTAATACTATTTGTGAAACAACAGAGCTGTTTAACACAGTTATTTATCCAAACTTTTCAGATTGCTATCGTTTTAAATTATTTAGCATTTAGTTGATATTATTACAAAAAAAATCCAGCATAATATTATAACTTCAAATTCATCTGTATATGTTGCTCAAAAATTACGTAAGAAATATGAAATAAAAATATATTGTATGAGCATTTACGTACTTAAATACCGCAAAGCATTAAAAGAGCTATTTGCTTAATAGGAAGGATTCTTCTTGAGGGGAAACTGGCTGACTTTGAAGGAACCGAGACTAAATTAATTTAATAACGCACTATCACTTGCATTTTATCTCAGAGATTATATGAATTCTATTCTATTTCAGTTTCTTTTTTTATAAGTGTACCTTTCATTCAGTTTTTGTAAGTTTTGAAATAAATATTTTATCAAAAATACTTAAAAATAATTTTCTTTCCATCCCATAGTAAGCAGCGTTTAATGGGATTTTATCATATGTGCAACATTTTCTCACTGCTCGTGGAAAAAATTTCAAATCTGAATACATTTTTGGTAAATATTTTATGATAGAACAGTCTTTGAATCTCTAGTCCGACGTGTATCCTGTTTCGATGTTTTAAATCAATTTAAACACAGATCATAAAATTCCAGTACAGTTTTCCTCCGCTTAATATAATCGTGTTTGTTTTAATCACATTTTTAAAACTCTGATGTTATATCAATTTTAGCGAAAATCTAATATGTTTCCCAATGATATAAAAATCTTAAATACTATGGAAAGCGGAAGAGAAACTTTATACTTGAAACTCTGAACTGACTTTCGTAAATATATAGGTTAATCTTCGGATTATGGTATTTTGGCGATTATTTGGCGACCAACCCTGCTACAGCAACATGCTAGTTTTTTTTTTTTTTTTTTTTTTTTGACACCAATTTGTTTTCACGAAGTAAAGGCTTTTTTTTTTTTTTTTTTTTTTTTTTTTTTTTAACTCAACATTTTTTTTCCAACAATCTGCTAACCGAATTACGCTTATGCTAGAACTTTTATGGAACAAAAGTGCTTAATCATGACGAAGATTAGGTGCGAAATTAGGAGAAAGTGCAGAATCGCCCACTGCTTGCCGCGTTTTTAAGAATTGCACATACACGGCAGCTATGTACACGTCGACCTATTTTCACTTAAAAAAACATCCCAGAATTGCACAAAAATGGCATTGCGCACACTCGACTTTATCCATGTACACTGCTAAAGTCCTAACTAGTAACCTTTACCGCCTTACCAAAATGTCGCCAAATTACCTGTTACCATATTCCAAAGATTAGCCAATATGGGTTGTATATATATATATAATTATAAAATTATCCAAAACTTCTAAAATTTGGAAATTTAAAAGAGGTATATGATTGGGAACATTTAAATTTTATAATTGTGTTTAAATAGTCATAAGCACTAAATGTATTCTTGTAATTATGCTAAATGCAACAAGAATAAGCTTATTATGATGACAGCTCTGTTCATGAAACAATTAAATGTATTAGCTCCAAATCTCAATTTTGCATTCATTTATTTCACTTTTGTGTTGAATCACTTTTCAAATTAAAAGATGATGCTCCAAAATTTTATGGTTATGTATTATTTTTCGTACTGAAGTATTAACGCAACCATTTTAGTGCAACCTGGTGACTTTTTACAGATGAAAAGATAAAAGTTACTTATCGGGTGTAAGCTGGTTTCCCCGCTTTTTTTTTTTTTTTTTTTTTTTTAGAAAAATACAAACTATTGACGTTTATGGTAATCGGTAAACATTATCAACATATGAAAAGCAAACATACTTTAGAAATTTAAAATGCAAGTTTGAATTATTAAATAAGGATTACGTGATGCATTAAAAAATAAAACACTTACATTCTTCTTCAAATCTTTCTGTAATTTCCTTATGCTGTGTTGTCTGTTTCCGCTTAAAAATGCATCAGAGAACTGCAGAGATTCGTCTTCATGCAATCCTCGGCAGCAGCTATGTCTTCCTTCGTTTTTCCCTTTGGAAAATTTTCAGCAAAATGCTCTATTCCTGCAGAAATTTTACCTCAGTTTTTTCCATTGCTGTCAAATTCCACAAGCTCATATTTTAAAAGTAAGGCATAAAATATCACGATTTGTTTATAAAAATCGTTGGTACTTGGAATGCAACAAAAAAAGAACGCATACGAAAATGGCCGCGTTGCTTGATTGATGGATTGTTATGAGAATGGTTGCCGGAAGATTAGTTATGTGCATGGTTTCCAAAGTTTGGCACATTCTGAAATTTGGCGACTTCTACTTAGGTGGGTGCACTAATACGTAAGTACCTTATTTTTAAAGAAATACTACAGCGAATATAGAAAGAAAAGTATGGCAACACTTAACGCTCTATTGGGAGTTTTAAAGATATACTGCTTTTAAAAATTTTGTTAGGTCATCGATTTGTGAATATGAAACACTATATGACTGTACGATATACTACGGTCAATGCGACATTTTCAAATCAAAGCATGAGTATCCTTGCCCAATGTATGGAAAAACAAAATAATAGAAAATGAATAGTGTATATAATTAACATTAAGCCATAAAGTTTATAAACAGTCTAGATTTTATTTACAAACGATCAACCAGAAATGATAGTTAACTTAAAGCTCGTTGCTATTCTGCCAGTTGCATGTTAAGACAGGGAACCGGCGAAAGCTTATATGCGGGCCACACCAAGGTTTTATCGAAGTTGTCAAGTTTTTGGGCGTTTCTTGGCTTCAAAGTCTCGTAGTGTAAACAAGAATACTTATATATCGATATTATCCCGTCGACCGTGAATGTGCCATCAAACTATGAAAAATGGCGCAGATTCCGCCAAACTTGCTCAGTCATTCATGCAGAATTCTGAGATATATTTCTATCTGAAACTTTTATAATAGAGCATCGTCAGTCTGTCTGCACAATCCACCAAATAGCCACTGCAGCGGATGTTGTTTCTTAATTCCCTGTACGAAGTAAAAGAAGTAATGTAATCATGGAAAATTTCGGGTACCATATTATATAAATATTCGGGTACCATATCAACGAAAATATCCATTTTGACCGCTATCGAATGCAATATGATGATGTCTTTGCGTGACATCTCTACTTAAGGACAGAATAAAAGACTCTTTTTTCCAAAAAGAATTATAAAACTAATTTAAAATGGCTTCAAAAGATATTTTTTCGTGGCGTCTGTACGTACGTAGGTATCTCGCATAACTCACAAACGAGTAGCCTCAGAACGTTGAAATTTTGTATATGGGACAGCATGTAGGTGTATAAGCACGTATGCTTCTACAGCATGTAGGTGTGCACCTCCCTTTTTTGGTGGCAATAGGCCGCACCAAAAGTTTATGTATGTATATATATATCTGTTATGTATCTGTTACTCGACTCATTCAGCTCAGTTTTTTTTTTATTCTTATATGTTGGAAAACTGTGCATTTTTTTTTGCTTTAAAAATTATTGAATTATCTTGTTCTTATCTTCCGGTTAAGGTTTTTATGCCTTTATTTAACTTATACACAATAGTTGTAGAATTATCAACAATTTAAAAGTTGTTTAAATGCGGCTAAGCCTAATTTTTTTTTTTTTTTTCATAGCAGCCGTATTTGTTTACATTTGAAGCGTAGCAGAATCGTGGATTTGTTGCCAATCTAGAGAATCAATAAAGATAACATCTTCTTTTGTTATTGCGAATTAAATCATGCTTAATCCATTCTATAATTTCATTTAAGTTATTAAATTATCCCATATATAGACTCAGCATATCGTTCACAACAAATTAAGTCAGTTTCTACGCCTTCAGTGTCTTTTTGCTGGGTGAGACCAAAAGTAAACTTTCAGTTTTGTGCACCGAAAAATCTACCTTCTTTGCCCGCTGGCTGAATTGTTTATATTTGCGTAGAAACTCTAAATTTAATTGTAAAAATTGTTCTTTAAATTGTTTTAACTGTAGTTATGCTTTATATTTTTCTGTATTTTTCAATTTTTAATAAAGATATTTTGAAGTTTCATGTATTTTTGACTTGTCGTGAATTGAGACCTGAATTAATTTGAATGAGAAATATATCTCTAATGAAATTCTAGGAAATAAGTTTAAACGAAATACAGAAAAAATTGCGTATACTTTAATATTCAGTACAAGGAAGTCATGTGGTGTACACATCGGATTTTTTTCCGTTTCGTAAAAAGGTTTTCTTGGATTTGTATTCTTTTGTTATGGTTTCCGATTTTACAGAAAGCTCTTTTTAGAGCCCTATGAGTACTCTACCTCAAGAGTACCGTGATTGTTCCAGCTGTTTATCAGCCAGCTGTTTCTTCCTCTTTTCAACAAATAATTATTCTTTTGACTGGAGTTCAGTCAGAAATTAATTCTATAACTCCCGAACTATTTTTTCAATGCAAGGGAAGTATTGCAATAACAGTTATATCTAGTGTATTAAAAAACACATATAACTGTTATTGCAGTACTTTTCCTAGAAGCAGTTTATATCCTAGTTCATAAAAACAAAAGGTGGCCTAGCGAAAA